TAATGGCTCTGCTAGTTTTCACAGTTGTTCACCCACTAGGTGGCGCTACTTCATATTACTAGAAATTAGCTTTCCATTCCAACACTGGCAGCTCCACCAAGGGTGCCTGAAGGGCAAATAGATAAAGACTTCCCACTCTGCATTTACACGCTGGGTGGCCTCATTTGAAGGTTAAAGCAGTTAATGAGGAACATCTTGAAGTGGACAATTAGGAAGACAATTGGCTGTGGTATTTGAAGTGACCATCCTAAGCCCCAGACATCCAATGGGTTAAGTCTCCTCCACCGGGTGGAAATGTCTTTCTTTATTGGTGAAGAGATTCCCTGCCACTCTCGAGTGATCTCAGCGTGTCTCTGTATTGTCAGCTAATGTTTTCAGCGTTGATTAGACCCATTGCTTGGCAGGCTTTGTGCAAGCATGTGCAAAACTGCATCTTTTCACTCTTGCGCTCTCCGGGGAGAAGCTTTGTTCAAGCCGATTGTACACAGACAGACGCACTCCGTTATATTTTATGCGGTGTGAGGGGAGCAGCTGTTTCCAAATTGAGATTTTTTTTTTTTTTTTTTTTTTTTTTTTATTGCTGAAATCTCTCCCTTATCCGTAGATGTCTAAACGGCCTGGCTTAGACCGCTCGTTTATTTCCTTGGATCTTTTTGTGTTTTAATTTGTACCATGCAGGCAATTTAAAGAGAACCTAACTTTAAAAAAAAAATCATTTATATTGGATTCTACAGAGTGTAGGCAGAGCCTGACCGTTCACAATACAACCCAGACAGGATCCTAGGGCCCAGTGGATTTCCAGGGGGCCCAGCTACAACCCTCATGCTACTATAAACCTGGGGGATGCAGTTGGTCCAAGTTGTGCCTCTGCCAGGGAAAGGGGCCTTGGCAGTACATAAAATAGAATTTGGGTGACTTCTTTGCACCTTTTGCAATCCTCATCAGTGTGGATGGTGGGGAGCTGCTATTTTACCTAGGGCCTTATTCTGTTTTAATCTGTCCGAGTGTATCCATTATGTTCTAAATCCGATATAATAATAATAACCTGTCATATGTGTTTATTTTTTATTTTATTTATTTCAGGTACTTATATAGCACCATCAATTTATGCAGCACATTACATATATATTGTACATTCACATCAGTCCCTAACCCTCAAGGGGCGTACAATCTAAGGTCCTTAACTTAAATTCATACATACACATACGAGGGCCAATTTAAACAGGAGACAATTAACCTACCAGCATGTCTTTGGAGTGTGGGAGGAAACTGGAGTGCCTGGAGGAAACCCACACAAGCACAGGGAGAACATGCAAACTCCAGGCAGGTGGTGTGCCGTGGGCGGGATTTGAACCAGCGACCCTAGCAAATGCTAACCATTTAGCCACTGTGTTACCACAGGTAATCTCTACCATGATGAAAACAGGATCAAGGCATAGGGATTCCTAGGCACAATCACATGGCAGGAAGTGCACTGCTATTTTTCAGGAGGGACTCGAGGAAAAGGCTACATTTTTCAGGGTGCAATTAAAGCTGAAGTCTGGGCAACCTGCTAAAAACATATATGAGAGTTGTTTTATCTGCCAAAGGATTATTTTTGTCTATCCAGTTTTGAGATATACACAACTCTGCCACATAGCACAGCTTGGTCTGGCAGGGCAGGGGACCTGATTTTTCACTGCTGCTGTTGAGTAACACTTGGGATCCTTTCACACAGGCGGTGTGTGTTCTGATCAGTAGGGGATCCACTCATAGATCCCCTGGTGATTGGAGCAGAGTACGGCAGATGAGTCCTCTGTGTCCGCTCAGTTTATGCAGAGAAGACAGACAGACCCTGCTCTGGTCAATGGGTGGCCGGAAGTAGATGGAATCTACTGTCTGTTTTAAACCTGGCTGCCTCTGATCTGGTCTGCCAAAGCAGAAGAGGACACAGTTCTTTTTGTTACCCAAAGGTAGGATTGTGAATGTGGACACAAGTCCGTTTACACCCACCGGTCCATCGGAATGCGTGTAAAAGGACCCTTACAAATCTTCTCTCCACCCCCTGTCTGTGACTGGACAGCAGGGGCGGACTGACCATTTGGGAACTCGGGCACTGCCCGAGGGCCCGGGGTCAGTAGGGGGCCCCATGAGATGCCCCTGGTACCTTTCATAGGCTTTTTTGGGTGTGGTTTGAGTGTGGGCAAGGACACAGGGGCCCCATGATCCCCTATTGCCCGGGGACCCCGAGAGAAAGAAAAAGCAGAAAGATGAACTCCTCTCTCTGCCCTCTCCTCCTATAAGCATGTCAATTGTGCTGCTTCTTCATGTCCCAGTTCTGTTGTACAGGGTCTACAAAATGCTCGTACCAAGTCATGTGCAGTTACCGTACTTCCACTGCTTGCACTTATAAAACACAAATTAATGCAGCTCTATAAAACCTCATTACATGTATTTTTTTATCTGCCAGTTTAGCTTTAAAGGCATTCTAAAAGTTGCAATTTAAAAAAAAAACCAAAAAAAAACCAAACACTGTATACTTACCTGCTCTGTGCAATGGTTTGCACAAAGCAGCCCCAATTCTCTCATTTTGGGGTCCTGGCTCCTCCCCCCTGCCGAGTGGCCCAATAGCAAGCTTCTTGCTATGTGGGCACTTGAGCAGACTCGCCTTTGACATTATCCATTCTCACACAGAGTGTGGCTCGGCCCCTCCCACCACTATCTCCTCATTGGCTCAGTGGCTATGATTGGCCAATAGCTTCAGCTGCTGTGCAAAGCAATGAGAAGTGAGAGTCCTAGGAGAGCCACTGCTCTCATGCACATCACTGGTTCGAGATGGAATCGGGTAAATATAAGGAGGGGCTGGGGGGAAGCTGCATCCGTAGTAAAAGAAACCTTCTGCCTTTAGAACCACTTTAACATTTCTAGATGTTCCCTAGAGGAGCTTCACTTTTTGAACAAACATGGTTACTGTGGCAGGAAGTGAGTGGGGGGGCATAGGCAATATCAAAAAGCTAATGTAAGTGCTCACTTATGATCTTTTTATAATGGAGACTTTAGAGGTGACATTTCTTTCTCAAAGTGGAGTCCTAAGCTGGCCTTACTCCTGTAAAATATAGGAAAAAAAATGTTTTTAGAATTTTCATATTATGTACAAATTAAAGGAAATCATTCGACAAGTGCTTTCAACCAGAGGAAATGAAAAAATCGAAGGACAAAGATAGGAAATTTTTTGTCATATGGGAACAAGGGCCATTGTAATCAGTGAATTTGTTCCTGGACAAGAAAAATTGTAATTAGTCCTTTGCGCATGCACTTGTCAAAGTTATTCGGAGGTAGGCCATTCTGTCTATGAAAATCGAGACTTTGACATGATACTTAACCCCTTCACGCCAGCCGCACGGAAATGTGCGGCCTCCCGGCGTCTGGGCCTAGACGGCGAGCGGCCGCACATTTGCATTCATGTAACAAAAAACATATGTGCTGAGAGCGCGCGCCCTGCTCGCTCCCAGCACACATGTGCAGTACTCACGGAAAGGTCCCGGTCCACTCTTTCGATCAGGACCTTTCCAGATCATGTGACCGGCCGTGATGTGATGTCACGGCGGCCATATGACAATAAGCCCCGCCCACTTCCCAGCGCAGGAACTCCTCTTCATGCCGGGACGATCCGGTGTGAAGGGGTTAAATAAAAAGTTGTCTGAAATGAGCTGGGACATGAAGGCATCACCCAATGGTCGGACAGGAGGTTTTTTTTTTTAGACTTTCTTGTCCAAACGTTTGAATTAAATTCTGCAGCTGTAAAGCTAGCCATACATGGATTAAAATTCAGCAGGGCCTTGCCGAATTTTAGTCCATGTATTGGCACTGTGGTCTACCAATCGACTTCTGTACATCCACCCTGTCATATTTTCCCCGCTCAATACGCAGTGGAGGATATGGCCTGCAAACTGATCAATGTATTCTGATGGTGGGCAAACAAAGCAGAAGAGCACAGACTTTAGAGTTTAAAGCTTTAGGCCCCTTTCATACGGGCGGTTGTTCTGCCGCTTGCAAATGCGTGTTTTTTTTTTTTATTTTGAAATTCCAACACTCCTGGGACAGAAATCACTTGAGTTTGTACATTGCGTTTATCTGTGATTACGTGCGTTTACATGCGGCTGTGCTTAGCTGCGGTAGTCTTGCTTTTTCTATAGCAGCTGCTTGCATATTTTTCTTTGTTCTGCGATTAACTGTGTTTATGTACAGATAGCCACGGTACATCGCTCCTGGACCCTGTCAACATTTTTTTCCTAAGCGCATAAAACCGTATGTTATGAAAATGTTGCTAAATGCAGTGTGTGAATGGAGCCATAGGGATGCATTGTCTGCATTTAGCTGCTGTAAATAAGTTCCTCTAACCGCAGCTAAAAGCTGAAATTTAACCACCCGTGTGAAAGGGGCCCTAATGTTCAAAACAAATGCAAATTGGCCATTCACAAAATTAACATAGAAAAAGCCGGTACTCAACACTTCCAGCATAGACGCCCCTCTGTAGTCCTGGATAGCAGTGCTGTCAGATGGAGGAACAGCTGCAGCTCACGGACAGACCAGAGCTTTGTACACAGGCACAGTGTGTTTCAGGGGATCTGCTGGATGATGTCACATGTGGGCGGAGAAGTGAAACGCGTAGCCATTCCCAAAAAACTGCCTTCTTTGTCAAGCCTAGCCTACCAAGTTTCCCCACTGTCAGAATACTATAGCTCAGCGGGGAGGATTCTCCAATCCACCACAAATATGTGTATCCACTAGCCTACAGGGCACTTATACCCCCTTCCTTCTCAGGCCAATTTCCAGCTTTCAGTGCTGTTGCACTTTGAATGACAATTGTGCGGTCATGCAACACTGTACCCATATGAAATTTTTATCTTTTTTTGTGACAGAGCTTTATTTTTGGTGGTATTTAATCACCTCTGGGTTTTTTTTTATTTTTTCTTAAACCAAAAACCACTGAAAATTTTGAAAAAAAAAAAAAGTGTTTGTTATAAAATTTTGTAAATAAGTGATTTTTCTCCTTCACTGATGTGCGCTAATGAGGCTGCACTGATAGATGGCACTGATGGGCACTGATGAGGAAGCACTGGTAGGTGGCACTGATGGGCATTGACAGGCATCACTGATGGGCACTGAAAGGCAGCACTCATATATGGCACTGATAGGCAGCACTGACAGGCACTGATGCACACTGATAGGTGGCATTGACTGGCATTGATAGGTGGCACTGATTGGCAGCACTGATAGGTGGCACTGCCTGGCATTGATAGGTGGCACTGACTGGCACTGATGGGTGACAGTGAAAGGCAGCTCAGATGGGCACTGATGGGCACTGAAATGTGGCACTGATGGGCACTGGCAGGTGGCATGGATGGGCACTGAGAGCTGGCACTGATGGACACTCACAGGTGGCACTGCTGGGGCTACACAGATCATCAGGGCACACTGATCATCTGTGCTCTGATGATCAGTGTACATGTCCCCTCCGAGGAATGCCGATTACCGCTTCTCCTCTCCTCACGAGCTGTCAGCGAGACTGCTCGTGAGGAGAGAAATGCAGATAACTGGCATTTCCCTATTTACATGTGATCAGCTGTGATTGGACACCGCTGATCACATGACCGAGCCGACATCTTCGGCTCTTTCCGTTGATCCGCCGATCGCCATGCTGTGCGCTCCCTGAGCCGCGCATGTGTGGTTAGAATGGGAGGACGTCATATGACGTCCTCCCAGAACGAGACAACCGCCTTGCATCCATCATTTTACTATATGGCGGGTGGGTATAGGGGAATCGGGTCCCTTTTTTTCTTTCAACCTACTGGTTGAGCAAAAAAAAAAAAAAAAACTGTTTCAGCTATGGGCTGCCTAAGGCCAGCATTACTCTATTAGTTACAAAATTAACAGTCATCCTCACTCTTTCTGCTGTTTCTGTATAATATTTAGATGATAAAAAGGAATAATAGGCAAAGCACAACAACGTGTGAAAGATTAAAATGAAAAAAATCAAGCAAAATAAAACAATAGTCTGTATTTCCATGTGAAATCGTAAATAATAAATACATCCACCAATGTGTATCACTCGGATGATTTAATGATTGCTCAAGATTTCACATACAGATGCTGACTGTCAGGGATCGCAGCAACAAATGGGTCTGCGCATGCGCAGAACGCCGATCCGTTCTAGCCAGCGGGCACTAGGACCTGGGCGGAGGCCGCCGCACATGTGCACTCGCGATCGTGGACGCTCGCCTGGCACCAATGACAGGGCAGGGCGCACTATTTAAACCTGCCCTGCACAGATTCTCATTGCCGTATGGTCTATTCATCCTGTGTTCCTGTTCCTGTATGCTGCTGTTGTGACTTGTTGCTGACCCTGCCTGATCCTGACCTCTGCTGACTTCTCCTGCTCTGACCCCTGGTTCCTTTGACTTCTCTCCTGGATATCCCTATTTGATCTGAACTCCTGTTACCGAACCCGGCGAGTGACCTGACTACTCTTTGCCTTGCTGCCTTGTACTACGCTGACCCCACTGTTACCGATCCGGCCCGTCTGACCACGCTCACTACTCTGCCATCCATCCATCCTGCACGGATCCAGTCATCCCTGCTCCAGCCTTCCGCCTCTTCACGTCAGGCTCTCTACCTGCATACACCTCTGGCGGATCCCTCTACCACAGGCAGGTGTACTCAGGGGCCGCGACCTGGTCACTGTCTTCTCCAAGTCCATCCCCACCATCAAGGCCCTGGTGAACAAGCAGACTGGGACTTAGACTCCGCGCTCTGGTGAATCCTGTCCTGTGTACTGCTAGAGGTACCGCCAGGCGGTTCCTGACACTGACTATTGTTTCTTGTTTTATTTTACGTGATGTCCAAATTTTATTTTTACACGTTTATTATGTGTGCTCCTTATTATTTTTTGCTTTTTGCTATTTGAAAACCTTTTATTAAAGTGCACGGAACATATTTTTGCACACCAAGATAGGTAAGACTGGAGACCCATCACAGCAGATCAGAATTGGCCTTCTCCTGAGACTCAGCATCTATAGGGAGGATGTTGGATTTGGCCAAGTTGATCTTAAAGTGGTTGTAAACCCTCACATATACCCAGTGAAGTGACTGGCCTCAGGTAATACACAGAGATGAAATGAATCCTCCTATATAAGTTGTACCTGTCTATCTACAGCCTTTCTGTTCCCTACGTCCATTCAAATTGTAGAATTTACACAGGATCTCTCCACTTTGAAAGGCAGGGGGCGGCAGGAGAGCCGACGTTACATTGGTGAGGAAAGCTCTGCGAGCTTATTGGAGGGAAGGACGCCCCCTCCTTCACACATATTTTTCTGCAGTTTTGTTGAGATTTCACATACATAAGAGTATAAAGAAAATCGCACTGAAAATTGCAAGTAATCATTGAAAATCTTCACAAGTAGCAATAACGTATTCAGAAATGGCACCTGAAATTGCACACAAATCTCATGATTTTAAATCGCAGCGGTGTGACCGGTGACCACGGCGATTTGTGTGCAATTTCATCCCAATTTCTGAAGACTTCATTGCTACTTGTGAAGATGTTAAATAATTTCTTGCAATTTTCAGTGCAATTTCCATTATATTCTATGTATGTGAAATTACAACAAAACTGCAGAAAGAGTAATGCAAGAACTACTTTAGAAATCAAACTGCCGCAAATCACACACGTTAACACACTGACATTCACATTCGTTAGATGCAATTTCAAATCACACCTGAAATCACATGACTGGGTGTAAACCCTAACATATACCCAGGGAAGTGATTGGTCTCAGGTGATACACAGATGAAACAAATCCTCCTACATAATAAGTTCTACCTGTTTTTCTGCAGTCTTCTCGTCTCTACAACCAAAGTCCAGGATTTATAAAGTTTGTCTGACCTTTCAGAAAACGGGTCAGAGAGCTGAAATTACACACTGCAGAACTCAGTAAGGAGAGCTCTGATAGCTGATTGGAGGGAAGAGACACACCCCTGCACACATCTCACAGGAACGGAGCTGAGACTGTCAATCTGCTGGAGGTCCCTCCCCTGTCACCATTTTGCTCTTGGTGTCAGAAAAACTTGTCAGAAGTGACTCATGCTGATAGCAGAGGAAGGAAGCAGCAGACAGAAACGACTCTTAGTGCTCTGGATTGAGACAAGCACACACTAAAGAGGGACATGCTTTGTTCTTATTTCACGTCTGAAGTTTACAACCATTTTCAGTCCTCAATGTATGTTGAACCTATCCAGGATCCCAAAAACTGAGGGACTCAAGTCCTGCAGAATAAGGAGTAAATCGTCTGCAAATAAGGCTAGTCAGTCTCGGATACCCCTTACTTTCAGGGCCCATGTACAGCAAAAATGTGAAGTGGAATCGAACTAAAGAAAAAATGTTTTTCATCAAATACTAGAATTATTACCTGTCAGTACGCTTTGCTGTCAGCGCTCAGGTGTTTCCATCCTCTCCCTGTCATTCTCCCAGATTCGCTGTGTTCACTAACGAGATGATGTCACCCCCATATGTGCTGGGGAGTCATCTAATCAAGGCACAGAGCGGGTGCCATAAATGTGCTCTGAGCTTCGCACAGCTTGGTATACATTACCGCTGACAGGCAGGGAGAAGCATTTATGACCATTAGGGTCTCTTCTGTCATAAAAACCCTGCCTGTCAGCAATTTCTAAATTTTGACTTTGATACCGCTTTAAGAACACTAAATAGTTACATAGTAGCGCAGTGTTGCTAATTATAATAGTGAGTGGAATTCAACATAATAGAAAAAAATGAAAATTCATCAGGGAGAAGGAATCCTGAGAGGGAGCTGAACTGCTGCGAGATATTTCAAGGGTCGGCGCACACAGTACTGATGTATGAAGGCTGGATCTTCCTGGCGGAAAGTTCTTCTTTCTATACAGTCTACTATTCAAGGGGGGGTATGATTTACAGAAATAAGTGCCTAAAGTGGTTGTGAAGGTAGAAGGCTTTTTACCGTCAAGCATTCTATGCATGAAGGTAAAAACCCTTCTGTGTGTTGATCCCCCCACAGCTCCCCCAAAAAAAATTTGCCTGAGCCCCCACTAAATCTAGCGAGAGCCTTGGCTTTTCTGGGATTCCCTCTTCTCATTGGCTGAGACAGCAGCGGGAGCCATTGGCTGTCACTCAGTGAGCCAATGAGAAGAGAGTGAGGCACACAAGGAGCTGGGCTCGAGAGCGAGCACAGACCAGTGCCCCCACCCCAAGCGGCTTGCAATTGGGGGCACTGGTCAGAGGGGAGGGACCCAAGAAGAAGAAGATCAGGGCTGCTCTTTTGTGCAAAACCATTACACAGAGCAGGTAAGTATAACATGTTTGTTATTTATTTATTTTTAATCCAAACCTTTATTATCACTTTAACCACACCCTGCCCGCCATATAGTAATATGACGGGCGCAAGGTGGTTCTCTCGTTCTGGGAGGACGTCATATGACTTCCTCCCATTCTTGCTGCGCGGCTCAGGGAGCGCGCAGTGCGGCGATCGGCGGTGCGCTGTGTACCTCGGACACAGCGGATCACCGATCAACGGAAAGAGCCGAAGATGTCGGCTCGGTCATGTGATCAGCTGTGTCCAATCACAGCTGATCACATGTAAACAGGGAAATGCCGGTTATCGGCATTTCTCTCCTCTCGAGCTGTCACGCTGACAGCTCGAGAGGAGAGGAGAGCCGGTAATCGGCTTTCCGGGGAGGGGACATGTACACTGATCATCAGGGCACTGATGATCAGTGTGCCCTGATGATCAGTGTAGCCCCAGCAGTGCCACCTGTCAGTGTCCATCAGTGCCTTATGTCAGTGCTCATCAGCGCCTCGTGCCAGTGCCCATCATTGCCACATATCAGTGCCTACTAGTGCACATCCATGCCACATAGCATTGCCCATCTGAGCTGCCTTTCAGTGTTACCCATCAGTGCCAATCAGTTCCACCTATCAGTGCTGCCTATCAGTGCTGCCAATCAGTGCCACCTATCAGTGCCAGTCAGTGTTGCCTATCAGTGCGCATCAGTGCCGCCTAACAGTGCCAGTCAGTGCTGCCTAGCAGTGCCATATAGCAGTGCCATGTATCAGTGCTGCCTTTCAGTGCCCATCAGTGATGCCTGTCAATGCCCATCAGTGACACCTACCAGTGCCTCCTCATCAGTGCCCATCAGTGTCCATCAGTGCAGCCTCATTAGCGCACATCAGTGAAGGAGAAAAATCACTTATTTACAAAGTTTTAGAACAAAAAAAAAGAAACATTTTTTTTTTTCGAAATTTTCAGTGGTTTTTGGTTTGTTTAAGAAAAAATAAACCCAGAGGTGACTAAATACCACCCAAAAAAAGCTCTATCTGTACAAAAAAAATTAGAAAAATTTCATATGGGTACAGTGTTGTATGACCGTGCAATTGTCATTCAAAGTGCGACAGCTCTG